ATTGCAATAAACAAAAAGCACTAAAACAAAGTAGCCAGGTGAGGTTGCGCGATGTTAAAAAAACCCTATTTATACCTGTATGTATGCACATGCCAATGGAATATGGAAAAAATTTATTCGAGGGAAGCAAGGAGTAATTTGAATCGCTACATGGTGTACCGTACTCAACAAGGTACTTGGTACTGTGGGATTACGTTATCTGCACTTAAAAACCTACTCTGGTAGTTGACGCTTTTTAATTTCCACATTCCCACATGTAACGAGGCGAAGAGCTCGCAGGACTCGTGGAGACGGTATACGGTAGAAGGGACGACGTCGCGGTGGAAATATTTCGTAAGGCAGCAGTGGCTTTGCCTGCCCGTAGACAATTGCAAAACACTTTGTAGCCTTTGCTTTTATTACGGAGACATTTCGTGATAGGACGATACGAGACGGCTATGAAATTGTGCGGCGAGGGTGCTTTCCATGGTGTGTCGCGAGGTGTGACAAGAAATGTCACACGCTTCGGGAGGTGTAACTACGTGGAGCTGGGGTGTGCGCGCATACCACCCCTGACACGTAGTACGTACGTCATCCCATTGGGGGGTGGCAGACAGAGAGAGAGAGAGAGAGAGAGAGAGAGAGAGAGAGAGAGAGGAGCGTGAGTATAGGGGAACGACGTGAAGAGACTGTGAGAGAATACTGAGAGAGGAGAGAGAGAGAGAGAGAGAGAGAGAGAGAGAGAGAGAGAGAGAGAGTGTCAAAGTGCCGAGAGTATGTACATAGGGTATATATAGAGCTAGGGGTAGCGTCAGCTACGAGTTTACATGTGTAATGAACAAATTTGACAGCACGTCACAATGCGTATCGTACGACATAATCAATTGTGCAATTATGAATCGTAGAATAGTCGGTCACTTGTTGATCTTCTTCGTCTTAGTTCTTCATCTTAGCTGGTTTAGTTTCTCCTCGCGATTTCCTTTACTTTTCGCGCAAGACCGGAGGCAAATGAAATATTCATAGCCGACAGCGAATTATCTCAGGCGACGGAGCAGTTTGTCGAGTCGTTGTCACCGGGAGAGAGGGTTGTTGACGAATTACGTTATCTCGTGGAATTCGGGAGTGCGGTATAAAGGGGGGTGGGGTGGGGGGAGGTAAATTACATCAGTCGACGAAACGGGAGAAGGAGGTCTCAAGGAGACCACCGAATTTCGTAGCAGCGGGTCTTCCCTTACGGCCTGACGTATCTTTGGAAATTATAATGGACGCGTCGTCCTCAGCCTCGGATCCTTGAAGTTTCGCGAGTATCCGGAAGGTCGTCATTTACCCTGGTAATCTTCAGGGGGTACAGATTCTCGTGCTAGGCTATGCGTATGCTCATACGTAGCCATCGTGCAGCTTCCTATCGTGGGACCTAAACCTTTTCCGGTGCTCAATTTACTGGATCTCCGAGCCCCTCCTGTCCCTTCGGATCCGAGCCCAAAAATACTCGAGTATAAATCAAGAGTAGAAAATCGCGTTCAATTTCTGCTCGGCGGCTTCGCAATTTATACGAAATGAAGGACTTTTATTCATTCTTGAAGGATTCCCTGGTATGGAAGCGTCTCCTCCTGGCGCATTGATTGCTGCTTCTTTCGCGTAAGCCGCGCCGTTAAATCTTCCCGCGGCGTTTCGCTGAGGTAGCGATAATAAAGCGGGTAAACGGTAGCGTCTTTCGCGAGGGTGGCTTCCCAACCCTCGTAACGGGGTTGCGGTTGGTGCGGCGGGGGGTGGCTGAGCTGTAGGTGGCTATACAGAGACGGTAGGACAGAGGATGGTACAGAGAAGGGAGAAGGCAAAAGAGTTAGAGAGGAGAAAAATGCCGGATACGAAGGACGGAGAATCGTGCTCGGGTAGGAAGCAGAGTGAAATATTTGCGCGTATTTTGATCGTTTAATCCTGTTTTCGCGAGGCTGAAGTACTTAGGGGTGGAGAGGCTGGCCATTCGCAAGGTCCGAGGGCAGAGGCGCAGGGGCATCCATCAGGGGTCCTGGGTACCGGGATAGAAGTCTAGCGAGGGATGGTACAAGTAGTTCGTAGCCACTTGACTAAGGTCTCCCTGTGGATGGAGTCATGGTTGCCCCGTAGACGAGGACGAGGACGAGAGTCGGGTTCTCAAGGGCTCTTGGAATACTCGGGAGATCACAACCCTCATATCTGAGGGTGAACAGCACAATGCGCTCATCCCTCGGTCTAACAGGCCTTAATCATGACAAGGGCTACCCCGAGCCGAGCGTTTTACGTTCTGGGCTCTGAGGGTGGTCCGGACCAGACCTGAGCTGCTTCTCGGCCAGGGCTCTTGCCATTTAATCGCTCAACCAGCGACGTCGCGACGCACACAGAGCATCCAGCGAACGTCGATGCTCGACGATCATTATTTCCTACCCGCCATGTATTACCTATGTAGACGTGGTACCTATATGATATATAATAATTTCAGGACTTTACCCTTCGACTCTTCGAATCCACCCTACACGAGGATACGTAATCCTTTCGCATCATCCCTTATACCAGGGACATCTAATACCCATCCTACAGACAGCTCTTCCTTCTGACTGATTGGAAAGGAGGAAGGATGCTGACCACCAATCGAGTAATTAGGTCGACCTAAATTGACCCTGGATCCTCCCGCTACCTACGAGGGTCTGCGACATGATTTCCTTAGTAGGAATAAAAGTTCTCGGTCACTCAAGTGATTTCGTATACCGTTACAGATTCCTCTGGAATCCTCAAGATCCCTCGTATTATACCGTATACTCATCTCGGGAATCGTTCCTGGTCCTCCTGTCATCTTGATATCACTTTATCCTTCAGATTGCAAATCAATATCTCATTTCGTATAAGTCGAGAGATGTCCTTGCTGGTAATAAAGTTTACCGGAGGACACGATGGGGACAGTAAGAAGAGGAATCAGCAGAAGGATTGGGCGGCGGGGGGGGTAGCTGGTTCCCGACGCTGCTATAGTAGCAAGGTGGTAGGTCCAGGGTAGTAGGTAGTTGGTAGGAAGGACGTCCAAATCGAATTACCTCAGGAGACCCAGTATTCCGCAAGAAGGTCCTTTAGGAGTCGAATGGACGAAAACTCTTGCCGAGGAAGTTCTAGCCGGATAAACTCGTTATATACCCAAGACTGGATCTGCTCGGCCCTATTCAATCATTCGTTGGCTTAACGAGCGTCAGGATTGACGAGTCGAAGCCGCTACGCGAAAGCTGAATATACTGTGCTAGGTAATGTACCTATACAGTATATTATATATACGTGTATATATATACCCTGGTGACGTTTGCTAATGCACGCTGGAAGAACAGAGGACGAAAGAGGCGCCCTGAGAAATTTCATAACATCGCACTTTGGATTTACATAATTTTACAAAATAATTAACCGATCTGCATATTATTGCTGTGCGTTCTACTCCCCGGGGTATCGCGAAACCTTTTGCGCAAACACTACCGGGTTTCAGGGTTCTTGGTGGATTTTATTAGATTGCTTCACGCCTGGTAACTACCTGCAGGGTTACTCAGCTGGAATAATATGAAAATTTCTTTCCTTTTTTTTCGTATCTTTCAAATTAATAGACCATACGACTGTCTCTCTCTGTCTTACGCATTTACCATGAATAACGTCTGCGTTGGTTAATAATGATTTTTCAGGGTTCGTGCAACAGTTCATCGTTTTATCGTTTCGGGTTTTCAAGCTGCACGCGATAAATTCGTGTTGGCACCCCTTCAAAGGAAATTAAGGTTAAGCGTTAACTTCCGGGATCGTTTTACTCAGTGAAATTTCACGGTTCCCCGAATGTTATATTTTGAATTTCAAGTTCTGCGTGAATTACTTAATCGCGTTAGACGCCATTATTCTGCCCTTACTATCGGCCTCAACGTGCAGGCTAAGGTTACGTTTTCGTAGACACGTCACTCCCGGAATTTCGCTCGCAACTCAGAGTGGCCAGGAGGATCGATTGTGCGCTGCTTACGTATTCTTTTCGCGCGACGGAAACGGCCGAGTTTTCTCAAGCGCGAAGAGGAAGACCGTCACGAAAGTCCTGTCACCTTCGAACTTTTACCCTCGGTCGTTCAACCAATCAGCAGGTGGAATTCCGCGCGATAACCTCAACCTTGCGTAATGCTGACAATTCAATTATAACTACGAATTTCCAGTCTAACCCTGAGCTGAGAAAGTTCGGAGCTTCGACAGAAACGCGATGAGAAGTAGGATGTGAGAGTGAGAGTGAGTGAGACAGAAGACAATAAGCATACACCGAGAGAGAGAGAGAGAGAGAGAGGGAGAGTGATGGTCGTCAAGGCTAGGACCCCTTCCCCCAATTGTTATGCAGATTTGTGTTTGGCCAGTCATTACTAGGGGTGTTTGCCGGCACAGGCAACCACTGCTACGGGGGTTCCAGTCGAAGCTCACCCCTTCGCGACCTGAATCACCCTTACTCACCTAGAGACCTCTCCTCTTGGGCAACCAAATCCCTTCCTCCCTCCTCGGCCCCCGTTCAACCCTCACTATCCTCAGTAACCATAACTGCTTCATTGCGCGACCTCCCTTAACAGGACCACTTTCCCATTCCCAACCCTCTTTCACTCGTTTGCTCTCTCGGGCTACATGTATACCTATAACGACTCTCTCGGCACCACCCTCTGCTAACAACGCTCGAGGAAAACGCGAACGAGAAAAATTCCAGTTTCGCGGTTCCGCCGCGCCACTTTGCTGGTTGTAATCGGAACTGTGGAATTGGAATAGTTTTAACGATACGGCCTATCTTCCTGAGCAGCAATTTCTTTAAGCGCTTGTGGCTTAAGTGGTTATCGAGGCCTTGAATGCCCTTTTTCGGAGCTAATACACCGGAGAGTCCGAAACTAGTCCGGAGATACGTGTAATGTGCCGCCGTACTACTCCGAGAAACACGTGGTACATTTTATATGGTTATGTGGGATACTGCCGAAAGTTCTTTTTCTTGGACGTACATAGAAACTCACCGGCATAGTTTGGCTACCGTGTAAGGAAGTGATCGCCGCCTGTGCTTCTTGGTGCGACGAAAACTTCACGAATGCGCAACCTGCAACAGAAAAATTAAATCCCCTGGTTAATATCGGTCTCAAAGCTGGAAGGCACTGATAAAGTGTCCCCGGGTCACCTTGGAACAGACTCGATTTACTATTGTCACGAATTTTTATCCTGTCCAAGGATTAATAGCATGTTACTCTGTCTCTCTCTATACATATATATATAACATTGAACGACAAGATAAAGGGTTCCCTTGGGTTTTTGACAAATTGATGCTGCACAGAAGCGCAGTTACAGCTTCTACCGAGCTGCTATACGTTCTTAATAGAGCATGTTTACTCGGTGGACGTCAGCGAGTGTCAAGAAAAACGCAATGACGTCATAATGTATGGCACAAATGTCTGACAGGAAGGGTGAAAACAATTGCGAGAAATTGTCCGGGCTAAAATATAGACTTTGTCCTCCTCGTGTATTTCTGGCTCGTTCCTGGTCGCTGGTGACTTTGACGTATCCACCAGCTCAGCTATGGCGCTCCGTATCCCGTCCGCATGGCACCGCGTAGATTCAACGATACAACAGACGAGTGATGAGTTCGCGTCGGATAAACGCATCGTGAAAAATAAATGAGGTTTGATTGTGATATGGTTCGAGGGCTGAAAAGAAGGGCGGGAGGGGAGGGGGTGGTTCTGGTTTGAAGGGAATTAGGACGAAAAGAGAGCACACCCTCGCTTGCGCCTGCTGGAGTATGACACGATAACGCCTTGCCAGTCTATATCCCGTCCTGTGCCCCAGCCTCAAAAACCCAACCCCTATTTCAACCCTCGGCCTCGACTCCCAGCCTCGAAGTCCCCCCCCGGTCTGAGTGGGGACAGTCACTCACTCGAGCCTTCTGATCGATATCTGATGTTAAAAACTTCACGGGGTGTCGGCCACGAGACGGGCGAGATTACTCGATATCCAGGTTATGCTGGAAGGAAACGATAGAGTGCGTCAGTAAGGGTGGTTGGCGGAGGGGGGTGGAGGGGGCAAATTAGAATCTGAGGATCGAAGAGAATTTACGGTCAGTGGGATTCATCGAGGATTGGGGGACGCGGGGGGGGTGGTTTTGGGAAGAGAGAAAGGGATAGAGCATTGGCTACCCTTGTACAATTCTTATGGAATGATTTTTATTATTAAAAAAAAGTTCGAATATTTTATTGATATTTGGTATTTCGATCGTGGGAGATGAAATGATTTTTTTCAAAGGCACCGAATGAATTATCAATTAATGCAATCGAACGATGTCGAAGGCGGGACTCGCTTACATTCTAAATGAGACGTTATCGGGTTAATTAGAGGGATCATGGGTTAAGTAGTTTTGATAAACGCGCATTGATAATCCTCGAGTTAATAACTCGATTTGCTTTCAGAAAGACAGACAGAGGGCTGGGTAGCAGGGTGCGCCACTCTCCTATCCGATAGTGACTCAACAGCTGGCGCAATCGGCGGCACGCTCTAAGACGGTTCTAATCGGCCTAACAAAGTGCTCGTTAGTACATCATCCGAGCCTCATTAACGGCATTGTCTGACGTCATTTCATCCCTTTCCGAGAACCATGAAAACCTGCCAGGCATTGTGTCGATAACAATGTCACGATGTCAACCTGATGTCGCCGCATTAATCATACATTCCACCCTCTCTCTCTGACTCCCTAAATTCCTTCCCACGCTCCACCCCTGTTCATAAACAGCCTACGAAAACATTGACTGTGAAAAGCCGCCTAGACGAGTCTCCTTTCCTGTGGACAGTCTACCGCAAAATGCCACGGTAATCAGGGTCTCGAGAAATTACAAAATTTCGACAAAGTTTACATCCCTTGAAGCATCTGCCATGACAAAAGGATACAGAAGAATTTCAAAAAAGAGGTCTTAATTTTTTTCAATATATCCTTCTGCAATCTTGTCTCATGGACCGAAGAGGACGCAGGATTCGAAGTAGAGGAAATTTCGAGAAAGTTCTTCCAGAAGTGTTCCGGGGGTATGGGGGGTGCCACTGGTAGGGACGGCCCTGTTCAAGTCGAAAACTATGTTTGCTCGTTGAACAACAACGAACAACAAACAGCGGACAAACCACTCGGTGAAACTCCCTTCGCGGAATGGCCGACGAGTGGTTCGGCCCGAGGTGGAGAGCCCACACCATCTTCCGGGCCAATCAATATCCCTCTGAGGCTTTCCACTCATATATTTGATTGCTCGGCAAACATGTCCAAGTTTATCGCGTGGCTGCTCCGACGCTAACATACTTCTACCTTTAGCTCTTGCATTAAAACTGCTTACCTAGTCGATCGATATCGTTCGAGGCGAGGCTTTAGCCTGCGAGTCATTCGATCCTCTCTCGTACTATTACGTCACTATCAACAGTAGCCATATATATATATATGTGTACCATACGCACTTATTTGATCTATATAGATATATATACACCTGGAGACACGCGACACACACCCGCTTCAATTCTTTGTCCTCGACTGTCACCATGAACTGGGGGTTGTTGTAATATTTGTACATTGAAGGGACAGGGGCGGGGGGGAGTGGCATATCGTAGATGGAGTTTCTAGACTGAAAATGGCTTTTGGCACAGCAACTTTCACCGAGAAAGTCAAATATGACCGAGTATATTTTGGTGCGTGGGGTAAATTGCGTGAGGGTGCGTGTTGTCCAGTGTAATAGGTCAGATTAATTTATCATGTACTAATTATTAGGAATTCCATCACGTGGCACGATAAAAAAATTCGATAAGTATGTGAATTAACTCTTTGTCTTTGTGTCTTTGACTCTTTGTCACAGTGAGATACACTCGAAGTACGAAAAGTACTTTCATCGGTTTGTTCATTGTACTTCGAGTCCCCACGTGGTAGGGGCGATTTCACGAGTGCTAGGAAACGTGGGTTACTCATATACCGGGTGTATTATTAATGATTAGCGATCGGCTATCCATGCAAAATTCATTGGAATACGTATCGATCGGTGGACTATTCTTGTGGCCGGGATCGACTGGGTAGGACGTTAACATTGTAAGTGCGAGGACGCTGAAAATGTAGAAATTTATTGAATTATGTATATGATTTTAATGCTGTATATAGGTATACGTGGCTATAGATATTCGCGTAAATTTAATTACGAGGTATTTGAAGTTACGAGCTTATACAATCCCGAAATTGTGCCGCAAATTAGGGAAACGGCTTAAAGGTATACACGTAGCTAGGGCACGATCCGCGGGGGGTTGGACCATTCATGGGAAGAGGATCGGTTAGGCCAAGGTTTTCAGGAAGGTAAAGGTTCCCGACGACGGTTCCCACTGGATGAAAACGGAAACCGGGGCCACGCGGAGTACGTGTACGTATAACGACCATCCGAATCGCAGGAGAAATCCTGTAGGCCGCTACTAATGGTAACATCCTGGCTGGATCAATTTCATTAATTAGGCTACTAAATCTGAGCGAGCGCTGTACGAACTCCCCTAATTGGTACGAGGCACGTTTTATAAAGTGGTGCGGGGGGGGGCAGGAGGCTTTCCGTGCAGCGTAAAGCCGCGCCGCGAGCATGTTGGATCGTGGTAGAGAGAGAGAGAGGGAGAGTGGATGAGAGTGACGGGGGGGAAGGCGAAAGAGAGGGAAAGAGCTTAAAAACGCTGACAAAGTTACGAAACATTCGTGCTCAGCCTTTTTATATCCGTATGGCGGAAAGAGGGAAGATTTTGGGAGGTGGCGGAAGAACGTAGAGGGCAGCAGCGGCGGTGGTTGAAAAGTAAAAATAAAGGATACAGGAGAATTCAAAAGCAAGCGGAGCGGCGCTCGTGGTCAAGAATTTCGAATAGGATTCGGTGCGACGCCTCGTCCTGTGGATTCGACGGGAGGATGCAAATCCATCGTGAAAAATGCCGAACTTCTTGGCGATCCTCGCGATCCTGGCCATCCTTGCCACCCCTGTTTCCACGGTCCGCATCCCTTAGGAATGCAAAGGCATCCTGTTATGAGATTCTCCATTGCCTCATTCTTTTTTTTTAATCTTGTTATCAAATGCCTCGAAGTACGGAGCGTCTCGGGGTAGGGTCGTAAGGATGCTGCAAGTCCTGTCAATGATACTATGCAACACGGCAAATATTAACCACGCGACATACGTATCGCTCGTAGGTGCTTGAACGAGACGGCGAATATTCTGTCTATCAAGGAAGCCAAGGGGTAAGTCGCCAATTGGTAAATATCCAGCGCACGTTCTCGATCCGAGAAGAGAAACAAATAAGAGCCGTGCTCCGGAGCTAAACTAGAGAGGAGCCGCGTAGACGGTGTGTAATATGAGGACACGTAATGCCATTATAATGCAGACACGACTGGAAAATCCTATAGGGTGAGAAAAGGAGTATGAGAAAGGACTGGGAGAAATGGTGGCAGGAGGAGGAGGAGAGGGAGGAGGGAGGGGATGGTCTGAGAGACGTAGGAGAATATACAGATATAGAAATTTATATATAGATATAGTGGGATATGGTCGAGTCACGATAGATCAGTCTCCATGTACGCGACGTATACTCCTGTAGTAGACGCTTGGGAATTGCGAGCAAATAAATTTTTCAGTACTCGAATCTTTCGTCCTACTTTTCGTAAGATGACGTCACTTTCTTACCCTTCCTGCGCCCTGTCAACCCTTTACCTACGTCCTGCTATATTTCATCCTGGCTACCCCCCTCGTAGTACCATCAGCACGTATGAAACTGAAGAATGGTCGGTAGGATTTTTATTCTTTAATTTTTGATCCCTTCTCTTGAATTTTATTCTGGTCCGTGTCACAAGTACCGTGTACCCGGTTGTACTGGAGGGTTGTTGGAAAAATAAATAAATGAAAAAGAGAAAATTAAGGTATACGTGGTTACTCTGAAAAAAAGACGTAAAGAGGGAAGATTGAAAACGGTAAAAGGGTAAAATGGACAAGAAGCGAGAGAGGGGTGGAAAATAAAAAAAATAAAAGTTTACGTACGTGGGTGGGTTACCTTTACGGTCGTGGGTAATTGACGAGAGGC